TGCAAAACAACTCAGACCCTCAGAGTCAGGCTGGGTGGGTCTTGGTTCTCACCCCACTGCAATCCTCCAGGTCCACCCTGACACCCACCTTTGCCAGCCAGACTGTCTGCTTTTTCCCCATGTGAGCCTCCAGCCCTGCCCCAGGGCCTTGGCATGTGCTGTGTATTCTTCACCCTGTGGAAGCCCTTGGGGTCCCCAGACAGAGTGACGCCTCCCCTGCACAGAACTTCCCACCACTCCTTGGGGGCCCATGTCCTCCAGGCTCACAGCCCTCCTGGCCCCCTTTGATCTGAGCCAATGAGCTGGCTTATATGCCCCATCTCTCCAAGACCATGACTTCCAGTAGGCAGGGTGAGGGCACCCAGGACATAGTCCATACGACACTGGAACTGGCCAAAGCTTGGGACAGGGTAAAGTAGCGTGTACGGCAAGGCCACACAACCAAGTCTCTTCCCTGGCAAAAAGAGGCTGTGGCCAAGGGTGCTGCCGCCCAAGTCGGGTAAGAGCCAGAGCTAGCTCCAGAGTATAAGCCTGGGGACAGTGGGTGAGAGAACCATTCACTGACGATGTGGCACAGCTGTTACCCCTAGCAGTGCCCTCTGCAGAGGTGCGAGAGAGGCCGTGGAACTTCCCTCCCATTTAGTTTCTGTTTTACACAATACGCTCTATTACGAAGACAGAAATCCAAACAGGGACCTTCTAAAGGGCTCATCCAATGCACCATGGCTAAGAGGTGGCTCAGGGCCCAGCCCCAGGGCAAGCTCAGAGAGGAAGCTGAGAGCCGAGGTTGGTGGGACAGACAGGCCTGTCTGGGAATGGTGGGGACAGATAGGGGCCACAGAAACTGCAGGGCACGTGGTCCAGGGTGGGACCATCACCCCAGGGGACCTGCAATCCTGCCCTGGACACCCAACATCCCTGTGCTGTCTTTCCTGGGTGCCCTCTACATCCTGAACCGCTGGTACATGAGAAAGCATTCCTTGTGCCCAGGATTAATGTCCTGAGCTGCTGAGTGTGTGTGTCTACAGACCTCCTCATGCTGGAGGCCCAAGGACAGTTACATGAATAAATGAATGAATGAAGTCTCCCTGAGATGCCAGTCTTCTCTGGCACACGGTCCCCACACAGGTGGCCTTGGTCCTATCTCCCCGTACCACCACCTCCTTCTCATACCCAGACAAAGCTGTCCCTTTCTACACGTCTGTGCCTTGCCCGTATCATGGCCCCAGCTAGAAAATGTAATGACAAGTGAAGCATCCTGAGGACAGGAGGGTGGCATTGACCATTTGTGGATGGCACTACCTGCCCAGTACACCCACCTTCTGAGCTGCTTGCAAAGCTGGGTTCATCGGTGTGCTGGAGCCCACCTGCCTGAGCCAGCATACTCTGTTGACCTTCCCGGCCTCCCTCCCTGTGCCCTGGCACCATGCCTTCCCTGTCCTTCACCCTCTGCGAACCTGCTCACCCACCCTTGACTTCAGTCAGTGCCTTTTCTGGGGCCTCCCAGGCCCCTGCTCACTGGCCATAGAAGAACAGGATCAGACCTCTGCAAGTCACCCTCACAGGCGCCACAGCATCCGAAAGACAACTCTGATCACCCGTGGGGCAGGAAGAGGCTCCTCTAAGGGTGCTGGATGAGAGGAAAAGAGGAAGGAAGGAGGCATGGAGAAGAGGTAGCGGCCTGTGGGGATGCTATGGGCTCCTAAGGCAGAGCCAGAGCCGGGGGTTGAAGGGAGCCTCCACAGCAGCCCCCACACACTGGCTCAGTGGAGCAGGCCACCTGGCATCTCCTCCTGAGCAGCATGACAAAGGCAATAGCATTAAGACTTTTCTAGAAGAGCCACCAGGCGACACAGGGTGAAGTTGAGACAGACCCAGCTGGGATGTCAGACAGTAATGCACAAGAGCTGTGCCTCCTCCCAGCCCTGCAGAGGATTACAAGTTCAAAGCCTGCCTGGGCAGCTTGATGAGCCACTATCAGAAAGGGCTGGGGTGTGGCTTAGAAGCAGAACACTTGCTTAGGATGCCTGACACCATGGTTTGATCCGCAGGGGCACCAAGCAAACCAACAACAAAAACAATCATGCTGAGGTGAGCTGGCATGCTGAGGCTCACGCATTCGTGGCCTTGGTTTCTGGGGAGTCCTGGTGATGCACCAAGATGAAAGATTAAGGTACACAAGTATATTTTAAAATCGAGCATGAACTAATGAACCAAAATCTTAAAGACTTAGCAAACTCAGGGGACCCAAAAGTTAAATATCACAGTGAAACTGGACTCCCTCCTGATCTGACAAAGGATGTGCTAGAACAATCAGAAGACTTGAGTCAGGTCTGTGAAGGATTGACTAGAGTCAGATGCCCACCGGGAGCCTCTGTGAAGTGTTCTACTATTTACCACCAACAGTCAAGTCCTACGGGAGAGGAAGTCTTTGGATGGGAGTCTGGCCAAATGGGCCAGGCCAGCTAGTATCAGAGAGCTTTTCAAAGTACAAAGAAAAAAAAAAACCTCTAGTAATAAAAAATATAGCAGATTCCAGAAAACAAGTTACAGACGAACAAATTGAGGGAAACCAACCCCAGCATATCAATAATGGATTAAACTTGCCAAACATCAGATTTTTAGAGTTCAGCAGTTTACAAGAGACATATCAAAGGCAGAGAGACACCAAAAGACAGAAAATGAAAGAATAGAGAACATTAATCAGAAGAAACCTGGTATCGTTCCATTAATAGCAGGCAAGATGGGCTTTAAAACAAAGGCACCAATGTGGGACCGGGAAGGACTCTCCACAACAATAGGGGCCGCAACCCACCAATGCTCAACTTGATAGGACCTCTGGAAGTGCTATAAAAGAGATAAAGCAAACATTCACAGAGCTGCGGGGAGAGATTCCCAAACCCACTCTCCGCCTGCATCAGGCCAAGCAGATCAAGCAAGGGCAGAGTTGGGGAGACTGGAACAAAAATGCTAACAGGCAGGATTTAACACACACCCATGGTACTTTCTTCGAAGCAATTAAGGAATATATGATTCTCAAGTACACAAGGAACATTTACAGAAATGACAAGTTCTGGGCCATAAAGCAAGTCTTACAGTTTCAAAGAATCCTTTTCACAGCAAAGGAATCCTCTGAACAAAATGAACCTGCTGGAACATGACAAAAAAAAAAAAGAATAAATTAAAAATCCCTGTGCAGTTAGAAATTTCATAATTTACTTCTTAATTAAAATGGATCAAAGAAAATCATGAGAGATAACATTTTAACACTGAGCAATAATGAAAATGCTGTATATTTTCACAACTTGAAAGACGCAACGAAAACAGACGTTCGGAGGGGAAGTTATGAACACAACTATTTGCTAGAAAACAGTAAGGTTTGAGTCAGGTATGGTGGTGCATGCCTGTCAACCCAGCACTTGGGAGGGGTAGGTAAGGGGATCAGGAGTTCAAGGTCATCCTCAGCTACATAGCGAGTTTGATGATGGCCCGGGAATACGTGAGCCTTTGTCTCAAATCCTTTCCCCACCAAAAAGAAATAAAGTCCGTGTGCTAAGCAGCCAATTTTAGAAATTGGAGGCAAAAGCTACAGAGCACACCCAAAGACAGAAAGAGAAGAGAGAGGGTGTTTTAGGAACCAATTTAAAAACAAAAAAATCAAAATAAGCATGAAATGAAGCAACGCCCAAGGTGAGTCCTTAGAGATACAGAAAAGGCAAAGTGTGGGAAAAGCAGAGCAGAAAGAAGCAAGCGGACACATAAACAGGGCCCCGAGTGAGGGGTGAGGACAGAGTCCCAGGGAGAATAGCTCCCTTGTGTGCTGTGATGGAAAATCAGACACCGTGGGCTTGCCTAGGAGTTACACCTCATCCAATCCAGCCCAAGAAGAGAGCTAGAAGCTAGAGAGAGAGCTCTCAGCTAAGTGCCTGCTGCATACACAGGAGGACCTGAGTTCGGATCCCCAGGACTACATTAAGACAAAAATAGACAAACAAAAATGCCAGGCACAGTTGTGTGCATCTGTAACCAGTACTGGCAAGCGTGGAGACAGGAGGATCCTGGGGTCCAACGGGCCAGTGCCCAATCCAGTGAAATGGATGCACATGTTCAGTGAGACAGTGCCTTAAAAAAAAAAAAAAAAGGTGGTCCTGGAAAGATGGCTCAGAGGTTAAGAGAACTGAGTGCTCTTGCAGAGGACCTGGGTTTGATTCCCAGCACCCACATGATGGTTCACAACCACCTCTAACTCCAACACCCTCTTCTGGCCTCAGCTGGCACTGCTGACATATGGTACACAGACACACCACACACAAAGCTATAATAATCAAATCATCATGACACTAACGTAAGAACAAACATACAAACCTGTGGTGTGGAACAGAAACTCAGAACTAAATCTACACAAAAACTGGCCTTTGACAAAGCTGCCATGGATATTTAGTGGAGATGTGTAGTCTCTGCTGGGAAACATCACTGCCCATATGCTGAAGAAGAAAATGAGATGATGCCAAATTCTCTGTCTGTCTGTCTCTGATTGTCTGTCTCTGCCTGCCCCCTTCTCTGTGTGTGAGTGTGTGTGTGTGTGTGTGTGTGTGTATGTGTGTGTGAATCTGTATGTGAGTGTGTATGTGTGTGTGAATCTGTATGTGAGTGTGTGTGTGTGTGAATCTGTATGTGAGTGTGTGTGTGTGTGTGTGTGA